AGGTAAGACAAGGTACAGTATAAAAATCTAGTTCACAATTATTTATTTAAAATAAAAACCGAAGCATATAAAAAGTTCACAAGAAAAACGCCTCACAATAAAAACTCGATAAATAAAAGCAATTCGAATATTTATTTGAAAACAAAATCTTAAAATCTCTTATTAATGTTATTTAAACTTTAAAATTAGGCAAGGAAGAAAAAAAAATTATTAGTTATTATAATAAAGAGTAGTCATTGATTCAAAAGAAAAAAAACTAAAACAGTGTTCAAACTAAATAATATAAATACGTAGGTTATTGTGAAAGTTTTTGGTTTCTTTAAATTTTATTATTGTTTTCTTCCTCTTTTTTCCAATTCTTCTACTTTTAACGTTACTTGTCCTACGCGATTTTGGCTATTTTTTATTGATATTTATTCAAAGTAGAATATTATCCGCTCTTTAATTCATTTTTCGCACTACATAATACAATATCAATACTAAAGGTTATTTTAAAGTTTCATTAAAGAAGAGTTTGTCAAAACATGAATTGAAAGAGTTTATACAATTATTGGCCCATTAGAAAAAATATTTATCAAAATTCACTTACTAAATGACATTTTATATACTTATATATATATTGCAACATTTAGTTTTAAAATTTATGTTTAATATTAAATTAAAATGAATTTCTATAATATTATACTTTAATTAACATTTATACCTAATCGCACTTCATAGTACTTAATTAAATCAATAATAACAATAACATTAAGAATTAAGGTAGCGATATTTATAGTAATGCTACGAAAATACGATTTTACAATAAACTTAATTATTATTTTTTTAGTTATAATAATGACCACTACATATTTATACTAGAGAAAATATCCGCAAAAATTATTCAAAACTTTTACAGAATTACAGAATTTTTCGAATATCCTTCGTAAAAAAAAAAAAAAAAGAAAAACTAAAAAAAACGACAATATCAGGAGTAATAAAACAACAACAAATTTTTTAACATTTTCGCTCTTTTTCTGCTTCTTCTATCTAAAGCAAAAAATTAACATTTTTTCTTCAGAATTGAAATTTTTAAGTCAAAATGGTGTTATTTAAATTATTGGGTATTTAAATAAAATTATAGTGTTTATTTCTAAGATGCAATGAAATTTAATTTTTATTAAAATATTAAATGAAATTTTTTTTTTTTTTTGGTTCACACCTATAAAATTGAAATCTGCACCTCTTTTTTATTCTCTCTCTCTCCTTTTCTAATTTTTTTATTTGTAATCAATTCAGTTTGATTGTATGTAATAGATTTTTTTTCTTGGACATGATCAAATTCCGGTTCATATTTTTTTTTTTCAAATATTCAAAAGCTTAGTAAAAAAAATTACTTTAATTAAATTTAAACCGAGTTAATCAAGTGGTAATCATTTAAAAATAACATGAGAATAAAAACACATACATAAGTTCTCTTATAACTTATGTATGTACCCTATAAGCAAACAAAACAAAAAAACTTAAAAACTAAATTTTATGTTGGATTTTCTTTGATATAAGCCGCTTAATATTTTTTCGCTGAGTCTTAAACTACAAATAAGATTAAAAATTTCATAATACACACTCATAGCAATTGATTTGAACTGTTGGAAATAAAAAGAGAACATGTGTATTGCTTGTTTGTGTGAATATATCGAAAACATGTTTTGTTTTAACTGATTTTCGATTTCGATATACATATGTACATACATAGGTGTGATTTACTGATTAGTTTATAAACAATAACACCTTAAATTTGCATTAAATGTATGTATACATACAAAAAAAAATTTAATATAATTTTATTAAATAGAAATAGATAAAATATTAATGATATTTACTTATATTGTAAAGTGTATGTCAGGCATGCGAAACATTTCCACAGCACTATGAACTGAATTAAAAAGTATGATGGTTGCACAGACTCAAGTTCTTTAGAATATCAATTTGGTTGTTGTAATCAATGTATTTAGAGAGTGTCAAAAAAAATATATGGAAAAGTCCCTGAAATATGTGCGCATGCATACAAAATAAAGTTGCAAGTGCAATTGAAACATAGTGTCAACTCAAAGAATATTTTTGCGATTATAGCACTCAGTTTTAGGTGAATCATGTGTAAACAAACTCAAAAATAATTATTTCACTATCGAAATTTTATTGTAAAAACTCAGCTAATAACATTTTTAAAAATTATTTCGGGTCGCATTAAATAATTATATACGCAAACCTTAGGTTGCACATGCCAAATGCGTTTTTAAAAGTTCATTGAATTAAAAAGTAGTACGTTGAACTTTATTTTAAAGTACATCTATTATTTTCATAAATATATAAACTAATAATGGAATTTATTGCAATTTAAATGAATTGAACAGAGAAAAAAATATGTGAATGGTAAATGCAATACAGTTTTTGTATACTGAAAATATAAGATAGCTCTAGGAAATCAAAATTTTTATATTTTTAATGTTTTTTCCAATTTAATATTTAAAAAAAAAAAAAAGAAAAAATATTTTTAAATTTCTTTCAAATACAAAGTATTTTTACACAAAAATACACAAGGTATTTGTTAAGTGATGTATTTTAGATTCAAAATATGAATAATGAACAATTTAAAATGTATAACATGCAATTGGCTATTATATTCCAAAAATAAACAATTCTCCAAACCTGAGCAAAAAGTGCATATGAAATGGAGAGTTCTCTTATCTAGGTTTTAGATTTTATTTTTGCTCTCTTTTTTACAATATTTTTCTTTTTTTTTTTTTTGGACTCAGTCCATTTTGGAATTTACATTTTTGCATAAATAAGTAAAACATTTGCCAAAACAATGCTTATGCATACATACACACATACATATGTGTACATAATAATCTTATATTTTTCTTCCCATTTTGGCTTAAATTTTCTATTCAAATATAATTACATACTTTATTATAACTTTTTGAATGTTATAAGCATAATTGTGAACCTCAAATGGATTCAATTTGAAAACAATGATTCTTTTTTTACAACAAAAAAAAAAAACGAAAATAAAAAATATTTAGAAAGGGTTTGGCTTTTTATAAACTTAATTGGAATATGTACAAATAAAATGTGCATATGGTTGAAATGTAGATAAATCATTTTTATTATTTTGTTTGCAAAAAAAAAATTATAAAAAAATAAATAAAATTGAATTTTTAATGTGATGACGACCTGATACAAATGGTCATAATGTGAAAAAAATTTAAAAAATTCAAAAAATTAAACTTTCGAAAATTTTATATAAGTATACAATTTATTTCATATTTGACAATTTAATGACATAAATCAACTTAATGTGTGATATAAACAAAATAAAAAGTTGTCAAATTTGATGAAAACTTTCCAATTTTGTCTCCCGAAATTTAAAATGTCATAAATTATAATTACAATATGATTGTTTTTTTGTAAATAACATTCAATGTAGAGAATAAAAAATATTTCGAGGATCGAATTCATTTTTATTGAATATTGTTGGGCCTGTTTACACATGATTGCAGAAATAATTGAGTGCTGACATTGTAAAAAAAATTTTTAAGTTCATATTCTTTGTCACATAGTACCCATCAATGATTGTCAATTGTCAAAATAGAAATTTTTGACAACATTTTTTATTCAACAAACCAAAAATTTGCAATGGTAACTTGCTATAATGATTAAACAGTTGCTATAATTTATTAAACTAATTAAACTGTATGGTAAGTTGCTATATTTATTAAACAGAATGCTTGTGGTTGCTTCAATACGTTTTGAGGTATATCCAGATGTACTTTAAATTAGTCTGTAAAATTACGAATATGTCAATATTATTAAGAGAAAGTTGGAAACAAAATATTGTAAGACTCTAAGTAGTTGTTCATATTGATAACGCGTGGCGCGTTATCATATTAGTGATTGTCAAAGTAGATGACAGAAAAGGTTAGAAAAAGTAAAGTAGTACATATGTAAGAAAATGTAAGATATAAGCTGTGTGCTAATAACCGGAGTAAAATAAAAGCTGTGTGAACTAAAATAAAAAAGATTAAAGAGCATTTTTATTAAAAGGTCATTTTGATAATTAAACCCTACAATATATACACACACGTGTACATGTTCATAATTTTTATAATCAATCAAAATTAAAGCATCTCTCAGCTCTTCACACGAGTATAGTTGCTTTTTTACATTACATATAATTTGAATACCAAAAATTTTTAAGAAATTTAACTTCTATTGCAAAATTAAATAACTTGTAATAACTTTAAATAAATTCTTCAATTATTTTAAACTACATAAAACATATTAAAATTTTAATTGTGTAGAATTTGAAAACAAAAAAAGAAAGAAACATGTTCTCTAAATTCACTCTCAATTTCAATGAATGATTTAAATAAACAAAAAACAACTTTTAAGATTTTGATTTTTGAATAGAAGAGAAAAAAATTCAAACATTCCTTTGATATACGAGACGAATGATGATGATTTAATCAAGAAATCTGTTTATTTTCTGTTGCTTTTTTTTCTTTTTTTTGAATGATATGTAATTAATTTTTTACGTAACCATTTCTATAAAAAGAACATCATTTTAAAACAAACTTAAAAACCATATAAGAAATCATAAACATTTCCGCTGAGACATTTTAATTTTAATACTACTACAATGAGAAAATTTAAAATTTAAAACGAAATTGTGATTAAAATAAAAGCGTCCATTCAATAGAGCTACAAAAAATCAAAATAGAGAATATCGAAACAAAAAAAAGAACGAAAATTAATTTATAAAATTAAAGAATTTTTTTTTAAGTTATTAAGAAACAAAGGAACATTTTAATAATTAATAATTCCAATTTGACATGTTATATAATAAATGATTCAAATTCAAACTAATTAAGTCATAAAAAAAAAACTTATACGTATTCCAACGTAATCGATACCAGATCACTTTTTAAAAACAAATATACTATAAACTAGCTACTTACTATTCTTAATGGATTCGTTTGTATTAAAACTGTTTCAGTTAATGGCTGTTCTTGACTTTCTGAAACTGGTACACCTTTTCTAGCCAATGTTTGTAATATTGACCAATGATTTAAACTTTGATAATTTGGATCTGAATATAAATTTGATAATGTTTGACAATATAATGTTGCATTCCCTAATCCAACAACAATTTGTGGTTTTAAATGTTCTTGATGTTCATGATCACGATAAAATGGTTCCTGTATATTATCCGGTACATGATTATTATATGCTTTTGATAATAACCATTTAACAGATGCACGTTGTCGTGCCTAAAAATAAAAAAATAAAATTTTCAAATAAATATAAAATTTAATTAAAAAATTTTTAAAAATTTATAATAATTTATAAGTATTAAATAAAAAAATTATTTGAAGAATTCAAATTTTTATTAACATATATCAAACTCGACTTAGGCCAATTTCTGCTTGTAACCACAGAATTAATCTGTTAAAATATAATATTGAAAACTATTGGTTAATTGTATTTAATTAAGATTATAAGATCATATATAATTGAGCTTCTATTAAATTACTTTATTTAGATTAAACTACAAGTAATTTTGCTCTATTACTTATTGCCGGCATCATGAAATCATAATTATTTTAAATCCTGAATGAGATTTTTTTAATAAAATTCATATCTTCTATTATTTTGTTAACTTCCTTGAAAAAAAAACAAAGTAATTTTTAAAACGCGGAAGAATTCTTTTAAAGCAAAAATTCCTGTATTTTTTTTATATAATTAAAATTAAAATTTCTTTTTAAATTACTTTCCTTATTAAGTTATGTTGAGAATCTTTAAAGAAGCATGAAGTTGAATTAATACCTCTGTTTACTTTATAAAACTGAAAAGTAAGAAGAGTAGAATTTGAACAACATAGAATTTTAATAATTTTAGTTTGATTATTTTTAAAATAACATAATTTGTGTTATTTTATAATTTAAAATTAAATAGAAATTGAATTAGAAAAAATGGTTTTTTTTTCCTACTTTTCTTATTAAATTAAAATCGCAATTTTTTTTATCTTAATTTGTGATAGCGTGACTTACAATATCCGTTTAGAATTTATTAATGCCTTTCGGCTATAATTATACTAAAGTTTCTTTTGTTTTTGTGATTCTTGTCGTTCAATAATGCTTTCTTATTCCTCTGGAAATAGCAATTAATTAAAATCTCTAACTAAATTCTCGAAAAACAAAAATTTGAAAATTGAACTAAATTAGATCTTAATGAACTGTAAATTTTTAACCTCTTTTTCTATACTAAGAGAGAAAAAAGTAGTCAAATAAAAAATTTTCAATGCGAATTTTGTTATTTTTTTTGCTTTTATTATTTTTGCAAAAAATATTTTTTTTTTAACGTCTCTTATCTCATTTATAAGATCTTTTATAGAGAAAATTTTTTTTAAAAGTTTGTAATTTTTTTTTGTTTTGGGTAAAACTACCAGTTTCGAGACAGTTTTAAATCACGGACACTTTGAATTTTTTTATGTTTTGAATTATTAAGAGTATAATGCTCTCATTTTTAGTAAAATTTCGTTACTCTTTTCAATGAAATTTTCGAAAGTTTAAATTGTAAATTGTTCTTTGTAAGTTTATCATTTATAGACTGAATCATAATTTCTATTAAAACTGAAAAATTAGGGTATTTGATTAATATGGATTTTGATAAAATGGATTTTGCCCGAAAATTGTCATTTCAAAAATATGAAATGCCCACAAAATTAAACAATATTTCAGTTTAAAGGTCTTTAATTAGTATAAATGTAACTAAAATTAAAGAAATTTTATAAATCAAATTTTAAATTTTATTTTAACCTATTTTTAAAACTTGAATATTGATTACAAATTCTCAAATCAGTTTTTAACAAAAAAATTTAAAAAGCAAATTCTCATTTGCCATAAAACACGTTCCCTTGCCTTATAATTTTTACTCCTCCTTCTTTTTCGTGACTGACAGTAACAATGATTTAATGTTCTCAAATTTTATCTTTTGTGTACTATAAAAAAAAATATATATATTTTTTTTAAGTTACCTAGATTACAAATTATAGACCACAAATTTTATACACTTAACAAAAATACAAATTTTTGCTAAAAAAAAAAAAAGCACTTCTAATCTAATCTTTACGATTTCATAGAATTTTAATCTTATAATACTCATAAACTAACTATATATAATTTTATGTATGTGAAATGCCGAATTCAAACAATACACTCATACATTATTTTTATATATTGTAAAAAATAAAGATAGATAATCTATTAAATTTGTGAACTCTCAAATTACAAGCTAAAAAAATAAAATTATAAAAAAAATTGATCAGAATTGTTTTTTTTTGTTTTTCCACGGTTAAATCGTGGGGTTTCCTTTTAATGATAATTCAACAAGAAAATAGGAAAAAACGATAAGCGAAAAAAAAAAATTCTATAAAAAGGCGAAGACAACCAAATTACAGAGATCGGCACTTCATTTTTTCTATTTCTGTGTTTTTATAAGTATATACATATATATTTTTTGTCATGATAAAAAGTTCAATCATGCAAAAAACCTCCTGCTAATTTTCATTCTATTTTAAAAGCCGACTTTAAGTTTTTGCGTTGAGAAGAGGAGAGGAGACAACAAGCATCATTTTTACAAGTTAAAATTTAAAATCGATCGTTCTATCAACTTTAAGTAAAGAAGTGAAAAACAAAAATCTAGCTAATATCACTGAAATCTTCAAAAGTTACTCTTTATAAGGTCAACCACATTTTTCATTGTACACTCTTTCAACTTTTTTTTATGAGTAGAAAAATTAGAAGAAAAAAAATGATTCTATGGCAAAAACAAAAATAGTTACATCATGATTACTTTAATTAAATAATTGGAATAAAATTGATTCAACGGAAAAATATTGGAATATACTTTTAAAATCAAGAATAAGAAATGGTTTCGATTTGTATAGAAGATTTACGGCAGGTGTTGATGATATCTAAATTATTTTGATTTAAAGAAATACTTTTAATTTTCAATATTAAAAATAAATTGCTTATCCGACTTACGTATATGTTTTAAACATAAACTTTAGTTGAAATTTTTTTTTTGTAATTTCCTGGATTTTTCTTCTTTTTTACTAAAATTTCTTTTTACTATTTTTAGAATAGTTGTGAAGGTGTTCAAAAAACAACATTTAGAAAAATTGATTTCCTCTTATTTTCCTTTCTTTTTCCACACTTCACTTCAATAAAAATGCTTTAATTAAATATCTATATAAGCGCAGAGTATATACACACAAAGCCGGTCAAAAATAAAAGCAGAAAGGCAAAACGACATTATTGTATACGAATTTGTATATGTACTTAAATTATATTTTTATGTACAACAAAGTACGACCAACAAAGTTGTTAGAATGGCGCTATACAATTTATACACAAATTGTTTTTAACATTTTTTAAGTATACAACAAAAGCCCATCAATCATTGAATTATGACGGCAATTATAACTACCAATTTTTTTTTTCTCTTTTTTTTTTCTCTTTTCCTTTTCATATTTAATTTTAAGAGAAAATCCCACATTGAATAAAAATTAACCGGTTATTTTAATACATAATTTAACTTTCAATAGATAATTGAGGGCATACAGTGATGCCGCTTTGAATTTTTAAACAATAGCTTATCTAAATAACACTTCTAATATAAAATAATATTTGTTTTATATTGTGTATTTGTGTACATTGTGTACAAGTACATATAATTATGCCATGTAAGTTAATATACATATATTATATGTGCGTACAGTGAAATATTACGAAAAATGCCGGTAGGGTTATTTTTCTGTCCCTTCTCTGTTGCTGTAACGATTTTCATAAAGAATTACAGACTTGAAGTGAACAGTGGGAAAATTAAAATGTTAAAAGTCGAAACTTAAGTCCCGAAATTGGTAAAAGTCAATGCAGAAGAGTTGGAGTCAAGGAGTCAGAGTAGCAAAATCGAAACGAAAGAACCAGAATAAAAGAGTCAGAGCCACAGAGTCGGAGTCAGAGTCATAGAGTCGAAGTCAGAGTCAAAGAGTCGGAGTCAGAGACATAGAGTCGGAGTCAGTGTTCTAGAGTCGGAGTCGGAGTCGGAGTCGCGGAGTCAAAATAAAAGAGCCAGAGTAAAATTCTGGGAGTTCATGAGTCGGAGTCGTAAACTTGTAATTAATATTACAGATAATAAAGCTAAAGTCCCGCCTGCTGTCAAAATAAAAAAAAAAACATATATAATACGAGCGGTTCTTAACGAAATAGGGTAGTTGTATTTTGGTAGTTATTGTGACTTCAAAAATGCAGTAAAAACGTATTTGCTACAATGTATCATATTCAAAAATGTATTATAAAAGCTCTTGACGTTGTATCATATTCAAAAATGTAAAATAAATGTAGTGGATACGTAAAATAAAAGCAGAGAGAGTAGCGAAAAAATTTAGGCTGCATTTTATATACATGTCATAAATATGTTTAAAATTTTTTTTAATTTCTATTAAATTGCTGTTTTGATTAAAGCTATTGCAATCCAATAAATTTAAAAAATTCATTATTCATTTATTTTTAATTTTACTCTGAAAAGATTAATTTTATAATATTATTGTTTTTAGAAAACTGTTTTTGAAAATTACTAAACGTCAAAAAGTTTATAGATCGTCAAATTCATGTTCAAAAAGGTAGTAAAAGCTTTCGTATTTTTAATACAACGCAGTGGTATTAAAAGCTTTGCGGCGGTAGTAAAACTGTATTAAAACTGTTTTAAAACTTTTTGTACTGCATTTTTGAAGTCACAGTTACTTATTAACAACATTATTTTAGCAGCGTTGATCTCTCAATTTTATTTATTATAAACAACTATGGTACCAGAACATACTGTGAAAATTAAAAAGAAATGGAATAATAATGAATAACACATCACCAAAATTTAAAAAAAAAAAAAAAAATCACATAAATTTTAAATTTTTAAAATCCGGTATTTCCATCAAATTGTTAAAGTCAACTTAGGAGAAAGATAATTTATATACCTTTTGACAAGTCATAATTCAATATTGATTTTACATGAATGACTTCATCAAATTAACTAACATTAATTATGTGCAGTATTTAGTGAAATGAATTGATGCGTTCCATATAAGAAAATAGTTTACGTGCATTTGAATAAATTTCACCTTAAATAATGACCATCAATTAAAAAAGAAAAAATTAAGTATTTGCTTCATAAATATTTTTCCTATAGTCTTTGCAAGATTTTTTAAATAAAA